CATCTCTATCTTTAACTCTCTCTTCATCTCATCTTTCTCTCTTTCTCTCTCTTCTTCTCATCTTTCTCTCTTTCTGTCTCTTCTTTATCTCTCTCTCCCATCACAACTGGTGCAAGCCTAACGTCAGTTGGATCTCCTCTCTCTCTCTCCTCTTCTTTCATTTGCAGCATCGGCTGGGGTTCTCTCTCCTCTTCCTTCATCTCAATGCTGGGTGAATTTCTCTTTCTTCTCTTTTAATGCAATCTGTGAAGCCTACTGTCGGCTGAATTTCTCTCTCCTCTCTTCTGTCATAGTAAGTGAAGCATAGCGTTGGTTGGATTTCTCTCTTCTCTATTGCAGTTGGCGAACCATAGCGTCGGCTCAATCTATCTCCCTTGCTTCTTTTCTATCACAACAAGCGCAAGCCTAGCGTCGGTTGCTTCTCTTCCTCTCTTTTCATCTGACACAGTCGATGAAGCCTAACGTCGACTACTTCCTCTCTTTCTCATCTTCTAACACAGTCAATGAAGCCTAGCGCAGACTGCATTCTCTCGCTCTTCTTCTAACACAGTCGGCAATGCCTAATGTCAATTGCATCTCCCTTCCCTTTCTCTCTTTTTTATCTTCCCGCCTCTTCTCTTCTTTTCTTCTCCCTCCTTCTGTCTGTTCCCTTCTTCTCTTACTTCATTCTTTCCTCATAACCATCTCTCTGCTACTCTTTCGTTCGACTAAGAGGAATTGAGGTTAGCCTCTCATGGTAGTCCTATCGTCTAGCCGTAGTGTTGTTGTGCCAGAATTACTTGGCCTGCTTTATTTCCATGACAGACTGACCATCATGCTTAGCTAGTCGGTATTGGTAATGATGTCTAGTAGTGATCCCGTGAGCCGTTGGTAACACATGCCCCTATTCTCAAATGCGGTTACTGAGAGAGCGATCTCAAAAATGTCTTGGGTCTTCCCTCGAAACCCGAGATGTGTGTCGCCTGATCATCCAAATCCGGATGGTGAGATCGAGGTACCTAACCATGCATGTCCTTCTCCAAAAGCATCTGAGAAGTGTAAGATCATCTTTTGGCTGCTGGTGATCTCCTTGTTCAAGGAGGATGGGATTTGGAGTTCCTTCCTTGGCGGTTGGTATGCCAGTTCTGCTTCTAAGAGAGCAATGGGGACATGTAAGACTTTTTGCTGGTCTGGTGTGTAGGTGACCCTCGGTACTGGAAGGTCTACCTCTAAGGCTTTCTCATGCTTAGGAGTCACTTCTAGCTCATTATTTTGTTTTGGCGAATTAAAAGTGGAGGTAGAGGGGGAAGCTTCATCTTCGGGGGATGACACCATGACTTCAGAGATGTGGCAAGGTATACTTGGGTAAATAAGAGTCAGGGGAGGATCTTGCATTGTCTTTCCTCCTCTTTGAACATATCTGTAATCCTTCGCCCAAGGTCTTCAACATCATCATGAGACGAGGGTCATTTCTCTCTCACAGGCTTCTGATCATCATCCTTTAGCTTTTCTAATGCTGGAAGATCCATGAAATAGTACTTAGCGTTGGCATAGTGAGTCTCTGCTACAGGGAATGGTCTCTTATCAACATAAACCGTGTGATGTCTCCCATCTCAACTGTACTTGAAGCATTGGTGGAGCGTGGAAGGAATCACCCCCTGATCGTGAAGCCAAGGCGGCCGAGTAGGACATTGTAAGATGTATCGGTGTCGATTACATGAAACTGAGCATAATCATTCAGGTCACCAATCTTGAGGAGAAGACGAACTATCCTAGTCGGCTTTTCTCTTGATTGGTTGAACCCTTACACGGTGATGTGGGTAGGAGTGAGGTCCCTAGTTCCTAATCCCAATTGGGTGAGGATCCTTCTTGGGATCAAGTTGACTACTGACCCCCCATCCAGCATAGTCTAGTTGAAAGGGTAGGCATGTAATTCACCGGTCACAAAGAGGTGGGCGATTGTGAAATTTACCTCCCAACTGAAAGTCATCCTCGAAAAAGGTGATCGCTAAGCACCCACCCAGGATGGTGGGTCCACCTTAATAGGCTCCACTTCAGTCTCGTACACCTCTGAGTTAGAAAGGGCTTGAACCAAGGCCACACGGTAGTCTCTAGACAGCATAAAGGCAACATAAATACTTAAAAGGGCTGAAAGCTTTCTCAAATGCCCAACAATGTCATACTTCACCTTATCCTCATCAGCCTTCTATGCTCCCGATTCTGTCACTGGTTTAGGTGGTAAGGTAGGTTTAGGAATAGGTTTTGGTTTGTGACACTGGTTGACTTTGTTGTTCAACCAGTGTGGTTTGGGCTGAGGGGGAAGTAATAGGGATTTGTATTAGGGATGTGGGGGTTTGAGGTTGAGGCTTTGGGAAAAGTGAAGGAAACTTGAGGACCTTGAGCTTATGAGGTGTGGGTGGTAGCTTCTTCCCTGATCTTAGGCTCATTTTCCCCATGTTGGATGATACTTCCGAGATCTGCACAATATGGGAGGCCTCCTTGAAGCAAGAGCTTGAAGATGGCTTGGTCTTGGCTTGGGCTGCTAGGGCATCGGTGACGGTTAAGAGTCCAGCCGGCCTGGGCTAGTATCTTTCTTAGGAACTTTCGATGCGATCTACTAATGTTAGCGCCTTCGAGCTCCCTGTTTAGAGCATCAAAGTCTGGGCACTGCTAAGCTGCACCTGTGAAAGAGATAAAAGAAGAGGGAGGAGAAGAAGAAGAAGCACAATTAGAGAGTCCTGGGCAGCTTTTTACCCCATCGTCAGAATTGGACATTTGAAGGGGGTATTTTAGGTCTTGTCCCAGCTCTAACCATTGGGGGATGCTTTTAACGTCATCACCCATATTAGATAAGCCCCTAGCAGTTGATGACTCAAGGACGTCCTGTCACGACCCCACCCCCGACCATCGTACCTTAACCGACGACGGGCGATCGAGCGCTGGTTCGTGATTCAATGTAACGTTTGTCACTAAGGTAGGAGAGAACTCAACACCTTTATATTTGGAAACCAAGCAAACCATGAAATAGAGCTAAAGCGACAAGCTTAACCATCAGAAGAGTAAGGAAAAACTTCGCACACCAAAATTCATAATATGAAAATGAAATTTCAAAATATTACATTCAGTTCGGGGCATCTAGACCCAATGTTACACATATCTACCAAGAACAAGACACAACAAAGGTCAAACAGCCTACACATAAATAAGGTCTAAGCACCTTCTTCAAAAATGCTTGCTTTGTCGTTCAGCCGCCAAACACAAACTTCCCGCCCTGTACCTATCGCTATCAATCTACAAGTAGAGGAGAAATGATGGGATGAGCTACACAGCCCAGTAAGCAGGTCTAGTGTTATACATCTATGATGGTGTTATCCATATGTTACAATAGTACAGTTTATCAATATAAATTCATAATTTAACATAAATGTATCTCAAGTCAAGACATCGAATGTGAACATTTCATTTAAAAGGAAGTCATCACTAAATCAGTGTGATCAGAGCCTTCAATTAATGAAATAATAAATCATTCCATCATTATAATGCTAAACACTCCTTATAAAGAAATTTGATCATTACCGACGTACTCTCTGAATCACCTACTCCCAGAGTAGAGGCCTTATCCATCAAGCTAAGCTAATCTCATTGCTTAAGACCTCTATTGTCACACAAGAGGGAGGGTAATGACCAGTGGGGTACCCACTTTATAATACCCTCAACATACTCACACAGTCCCCAGCGCGCATTAGGGTTTCGATAGGCCCTTACCTTGCAAGGCATCAATCACATATCATTTCATAAATATAGGGTGCGACCCCTTATCCTCTCCCTTAAGCCATTCTTATCATTATGTAGGTTAAGGGATATGTCGGCATCTCTTTCCTTACTACCGATGAGTGTCCCATCGCGTAGTAGGCAATATCATAGCAGCATCCACTACCAGTGAGTGTCACACCACATGGTAGCCAATATTCTCATCAATGTCTTGGTAAACCTAGCTCTCGCTACCGATGGGCTCAGGTCCCACCGCGTAGTGGCCAATGTTCCCATCAATAAGTCCAATATCCACTACCAAAGGGCTCGAGTTCCAATGTGTAGTGGTCAACACTCTCATCAATTTAACAGCACAATATCCACTACCGATAAGTGTCCCACCGCGTAGTGGCCAATATCAATATAAAAAGTGGTCATTCATCACCTCATAACAGATGAATCATATTTCATCATAACGTCATAGCATTTAACAAAAGACATGCATTTCATAAGCTATCACAGGGCTTTTATACATAAGCTTTCTTAGTAGTATCTGGCATTTACTGTTAATTCATTTCATCATTATTATGCTCGTGGACCCTTTTTCTCACAAAGTGTAGTTTATGCGGCATCATTTACATATCTTTATGGAATTCTCATGGAATTTATCATGTAGCATTCACATTTATCATATATCACGATAACTTAGCGTCGCATGGTCATACAATGATGCAGTGACAAGTAACAATTACATGCCCCTCTTAGCGACGCCGTAGCTCCCGATGTAGGGGGAATTTCAGGATGCCTCAACCATAAAACCTTGAGCTAATACACATTTCTTTACAAAAACAGTGATTTGAAAAAATTTGGGTGCTATTTGATGGGTCAATAGATCAGTAAAAAGTGAGCCTTAGTTGCAAGAAATTTCTCTGCAATAGTGCGTCGTGATGTGTTTGCGCATTTCTTGTCATAGCTCAAAATCTGTGGGAAGCTTCAAACATATCAAAACATTCAACTTTAATTACATTCATAAACCTTTCCAATGGCAATAATTTTAAGGTTTTTGGATACTATTAGCTAAGTCAAAACCATTGCCCAAAGAGGGCCACAGTTGCTGGAAATAGCAGCGGCTGTGAACGGTGTCATGCCTTCACATTTAGGGCCATATCTTTTTATCTATATAAAATTTTATCATGACAAAAAGTACACATGGAGCATACACACAGGTCTTTCATTTGGGATCGATTTGGTCCTATTTGGGCTCCATTTGATCATCGAACATATGATGCAAAGACATTCACAGTTCTGTAAATTCACATTCTCAAATTAATATACTTTTAAAGAACACTTATTATTTCCTAGCCAAGCTACACTTTGGGCTTGAAACCTTAATCGTGATAAGGAGCCTCACGGTGAGCGATTTCATGAGTTTTCATAAATAAGAAGATCAAACATGTGGTAGAAATAGTCGTGGCATTGAGAAGCACAAACGAAAACTTCAGCCTCATGTTAACCCATTCATTCTTCACATTTTCCTTTATATCATCTAATCCATTTCAACATTTTTACAACACTCATGGGTGCATAAAGCTTAACCCACTTACCTTAACTTCTCACGGTATCACAAATCCTCACTCATGGCCTTCACGGGCTTTCCTTGGCTTCACCAGTGGGTTGTCTTGAAAGGGGCAACAGTGAGCTCCAAGAGAAAGGGAAAAGTTGAGAAAAAATGGGAGAGACCTGTATTGCCCAAGGCTTAAAAGGAGAGGGTGGTTGGAAAACATTGTGGTTAACACAATCACTCATTGCTCTGACACATAACGGGCAGCTCTGACATGCGCAAAGGCTATACGTTGACTAAAACACTTCCGGCGCTGCACTATCAAACATGCAACTGGTGCTGCTCCAACAGACGTTGCTCTCTCTTCTCTTCCAACTGGCATTGCTCCAACCAGCACTACTCTCTCTTCTCTTTCATCCAGCACTGCTCCAATCGGTGTGCTACTCTCTTCTCTTCCAACCGACGCTGCTCTCTCTTCTCTTCCAACCAGTGCTGCTCCAACCGGCATCCTACTCTCTTCTCTTCCAACCTGTATGCTACTTTCTCTTCCAACCGACGCTGCTCCAATTGGCGCGCTACTCTCTTCTCATCCAATCGGCGCTGCTCTCTCTTCTCTTTCAACCAACACTGCTCCAACCGATGCTGCTCTTTAAACACGCGTAGCAATTCCTCAGACGGCAATACTCCATACGCCTTTCGCGCGCGACGAAAATCCTTACCCCTTCTCGCTCGACATTACATCTCTCTTCCCTCGAGGCGATACAGGCTTGGGAGAAAATTGTGGCCCTTACATCATCCCCTCCTTTAAAGGGATTTTGTCCTCAAAATTATATTAACATTAACTAAAAAGGTGGGGATATTTCTCCCAAATCTCATCCTCCCATTCCCATGTCGATTCTTCCCTTGAATGATATTGCCATTGTACCTGGACTAGGGGAACTTCTTTATTGCGCAACACTTCTACTCTTATGTCCAAAATCCTAATTGATTGTTCAACATAGGTCAAGTCTTCCCTATGCGGGATTGGTTTATACTCCAAGACATGGAACAGGTCAGGCTGATATTTCCTTAATAGTGATATATGGAAGAATCGTGGACACTGTATAGCTCAAGTGGCAGGGCAAGTCGGTAAGCCACGCTTCCGATTCTTTCCAAGACTTCAAAAGGTTCAATGAATCGTGGGCTCAATTTCCCATTTTTACTAAATCTCATAACACCCTTGGTTGGTGATACCTTCAGGAAGACTCTATCCCTTACCTCAAACTCAAGGTCTCTCAGACGATTATAGGTGTAGCTATTTTGCCGACTTTGGGCTATCTTGAGTAGCTCTCTAATCAAGGCAGTCTTCTCAAAAGTTATCTGAACCATTTCAAGCCCTAGTAATCTTCTTTCTCCCACCTCATCCGAAGAGACGGGTGACCTGCACTTTCTTCCATACAGGGCCTCATAAGGTACCATCTGAATACTGGCTTGAAAGCTGTTATTATAGGAAAATTCTATCAAGCGTAGATGGTCTTCCCAGCTTCCCTTAAAGTCATTGACACATGCCCTTAACATGTCCTCCAAGGTTTGAATGATTCTCTCTGGCTGTCTATCTATTTGAGGGTGAAAGGAGGCGCTAAATGTAAGTCTGGTTCCCAACGCTGACTACGGACTTGCCCAAAATATGGAGGTGAAACTAGTGTCCCTATCTGACACAACGTTGATGGCCACTCCGTGCAATATCACAGTTTCTCTGATGTATAGCTGGGCCAGTTTATCCAATGTATAGGTCGTGCGAACTAGCTCAAATTCATTGAAGGAGTTGGGGTTCCATCCTTAAACACAACAACATTCCTTACCTCTCATCATGGGGCTGAGATGGGTGCCACTTCGCTACATCCTCTAACAACTTCATTTTTAGAATCATTAAGTGTGCCACAGAAACCACAGTCTTTCGACTTAGGGGATCGGCCTCTACATTGGTGTTGCCTGGTTGGTAATCAATTTTACAGTCATAATCATTCAATAAATCCATCCATCTTCATTGCCTCATGTTTATCCATCTCTAGAAAAACAAGTACTTGAGGCTCTTGTGGTCAGTGAACACCTTAAACTGGGCCCCATAGAGGTAGTGTCTCCATATATTTAACGCGAACACTACTGCCCAAGCTCCAAGTCATGAGTGGGATAGTTTTGTTCTTGTCGCTTTAGCTGTCTAGAGGCATAAGCAATAACTTTACCTCTCTGCATAAGTACACATCCGATCCCTTTATGGGATGCATCGGTATAAACCACAAAGTCTTCATTTCCTTAAAGCAAGGCTAATATTGGGGTTGTGACTAGACTCTTCTTAAATTCTTGGAAACTCCTCTCACACTCCTATGACCATACAAATTTTGCATTCTTCTGGGTCAACCGAGTTAGGGGGAGCGCTATCTTTGAGAATCCTTCTACGAAGCGCCTATAGTGCCCTGTCAATCCCAAGAAGCTACGAACCTCAATCACGTTTGTTGGCTTTTCCCACTTAAGTACGGCTTCGACCATGATCCCGTCCTTAGAAATAATGTGTCCAAGGAAGGCCACACTGGGAAGCCAAAACTCGCTCTTACTCAACTTAGCATACAACCTTTCCAACTTCAAAGTTTGCAAGACCATCCTTAGATGCTACTCATGCAGTTCCCAACTCTTCAAATATATCAAGATATCATCAACAAACACCACTACAAAGTCATCTAAGAAGGGTCCGAACACCCTGTTCATCAAATCTATGAACACATCAGGGGCATTGATTAGCCCGGATGGCATCATAAGAAACTCATAGTGCCCGTATCGAGTTCTAAAAGTGGTCTTTGGGATGTCTTCCTCCTTAACCCGCAAATAGTGATAACCCGATCTAAGGTCAATCTTCGAAAACACTTGGGTTCCTTGGAGCTGGTCAAAGAGGTCATTAATACTACTCAGAGGGCACTTATTTTTCACTGTCACTTGGTTCAACTGCCTATATCAATGACCCATCCTTTTTCATCACAAATAGAACCAGTGCACCCCAGGGCGACACACTAAGTCAGATAAATTCCTTAAACAATAATTCCTGCAACTTCTCTTTTAACTCTTTCAATTCTGCTAGGCCCATTCTATAAGGGGCTTTTGAAATGGGGGCGGTGTCAAGTACTACCTCTATCTTGAACTCAATTTCTCTTTCTAGATGTAGGGATAGCAATTCTTCTGGGAATACCTCAAGGTATTCTTTTACTACAAGTATCTCTTCTAACTGGGTCTAAACATCCCGATTCTCTACTACATATGCCAAATATCCTACACATCTCTTAGCTAAGAGATGAAAGGCCCGGAGGGCAAAGATAAAGTGCTGAGCAGAAGTATCCCTAATGCCCTCAAGGTGTACTTCTGCTTGATCCAGACGTTTAAAGGTTACCGTCTTTTCATGGCAGCCGACGGTGGCATGGTGTGTAAACAACCAATCCATACCTAGAATGACATCAATGTCTTGAATATGTAGGTGGATCAAATCCATTGGCAGGTCACACCCATCAATTGTAATCTTACATTGTTTATATACTTTATCAGTCTCCATAGAGTCGCCCACCGGTGTACATACTACTACTAAAGTGTAATTGAGACATGCAGGTGCAGCATTCATGTAACGAGAAAAATGGGGTGCAACAAATGAATGAGAGGATCCAGGGTCAATTAAGACTTTAGCATTAATATCACAAATTGAGAATATACCTCTGATCACCAAGGTGGATGCCTTAGCCTCTTGTTCAATGAGTGCAAACACTCGTCCTTGGGTCTTCGGGCGATCCTCGGTCTTCAACATTGGGCAGTCCTTCGCCCAGTAGCCAGGCTTGTAGCATTTCCGACATACATTCTTCTTTTGGTAGCATTCCGCAGCAATGTGGTTGATTTTCCCACAATAAATACAAATTAGGCTTCGGTCATTGTCTATATTGCCCGAAAGACTCCTCGGAATTCTTGGGTTAGGTGGGTATAATCTCCCTCTAGAGTTTCTCCTATAAGACTGCCAGGGTTTCTTCCCAAACTTTCTCAATGGCATTATTTTCCTTTTTCCTTCATCTCCTAATCTGCGATCCTTGCAGTCTTTCTCCATCTTCAGAGCATGGTTTACCATCGGGGTGTACGGCTTTATATTGGTCGACATCACCCTACTCCTAATATCTGGTCGCAAGCCCCTTTCAAATTTAGCCGCTTTTTGTGCCCGGTATTTATGATGTGGGGCGCATACTTAGAGAGCTCTGCGAATCAGGCGGCATATTGTTCAACAGTCATTCCCCCTTGCTGGAGTTCAATGAATTCTATTTCCTTCCTTTCCTTGACTGACCTCAGTCCCTGTCTCGCTCCAAGTCTGCTTTACCGAGTCCCACCAGTATTCTGCTTCCCCTTCCAGCATAAAGGCCCCTAGCCTGACTTTTTGCTCATCTGAACAGTGTAACACCTCTAAGATCTTCACTATTTGTTTCTTCCACCGCTCAGCCTTCTCCATTCCTCCATGCCCCAAAAAGGTTGGGGGTGCCATCCTCTTAAACCTCTCCATGAGGCTACTATCATTCTGCTCTGGTGTAGGGATAGACTGGGTTGGCATCGATTCCTTCATCATTTGGGTCATCGCCCCCAAAGTCCTGTAAAACTCACCGAGTGGTTCAATGTTTTCGTTACTGGAACTCACATTGTGGTTGCGAGCTCTCGGCATCCATTAACCTAGTCACAAGAACACCCAGTCACATGCCTACCCCAAAACTAATCTAAGGACTCTCCTAAACTTGCTAGGCCAAGAATCCTCTCATGGCTGCTCTGATACCACATCTATCACGACCCCACCCCTGACCATCGTACCTAAAGCGGCGACCGACGATCGAGCATGGGTTCATGATTCAATGTAAAGTTTGTCACTCACGTAGGAGTGGACTCAACACCTTTATATTCGAAAATCAAGTAAACCATGGAAGGGAGCTAAAGCGACAAGCTTAACCAGTAGAAGAGTAAGGAAAAACTTTCCACACAAAAATTCAGAATATAAAAAAAAATCTTTCAAAATATTACATTTAGTTCGGGGCATCTAGACCCAATGTTACACAAACCAACCAAGAACAAAACAAAACCAGGGCCAAACAGCTCCGATATAAATAAGGTCTGAGCACCTTCTTCAAAAATGCTAACTTTGTCTTCCAACCGCCAAACACGAACTTCCAACCCTGCACCTACTGCTATCAATCTACAAGTAGAGGAGAAATGATGGGATGAGCTATACAGCCTACTAAGCAGATCTAGTGCTATACATCTGTGGTGGTGCTATCCATATGTGACAATAGTATAGTTTATCAATATAAAGTCATAATTTAGCATAAATGCATCTCAAGTCAAGACATCGAATGTGAACATTTCATTTAAACGACAGTCATCACTAAATCAGTGCGATTAAAGCCTTCAATTAATGAAATCATAAATCATTTACATCATTATAATGTTAAACATTCCTTATAAAGAAATTCAATCATTACCCACGCACTCCCTAAATCACTTACTCCCCCAGTAGAGGCCCTATTCATCAAGCTAAGCCAATCCCATTGCTTAAGAACTCTATCGTCACACAGGAGGGAGGGTAATGGCAAGTGGGGCGTCCACTTCGTAATACCCTCAACACACTCACATAATCCCTAGCACGCATTGAGGTTTCCATAGGCTCTTATCTGGCAAGGAATCAATCACATATCTTTTCACAAATCTAGGGTGCGACCCTTTATCCTCTCTCTTAACCTGTTCCTATCATTATGCAGGCTAGGGGATATGCTGGCATCTCTTTCCTTACTACCGATGAGTGTCCCATCGCGTAGCAGGCAATATCATAGTAGCATCCGCTACCGTGAATGTCCCACCGCGTAGTGGCCAATATTCTCATCAATGTCTTGGTGAACCTAGCTCTCGCTACCAATGGGCTCGGGTCCCACCGCGTAGCGGCTAATGTTCCCATCAATAAGTTCAATATCCGCTACCAAAGGGCTCGGGTCCCAATGCGTAGTGGTCAACAATCTCATCAATTTAACAGCACAATATCCACTACCGGTGAGTGTCCCATCGCGTAGTGGCCAATATCAATATAAAAAGTGGTCATTCATCGCCTCATAATGGATGAATCATATTTCAGCATAACGTCATAGCATTTAGCAAAATACATGAATTTCATAAGCTATCACAGGGCATTTACACATAATCTTTCTCAGTAGCATTTGGCATTCATTGTTTATTCATTTCATCATTATCGCGCTCGTGGCCCCTTTTTGTCACAAAGTGCAGCTTACACGGCATCATTCACATATCTTTATGGCACTCTCATGTAATTTATCATATGGCATTCACATTTATCATATATCAAGATTCACATGGTCATACAATGATGCAGTGACAAGTAACAGGGACATACCCCTCTTAGCGAGGGCGTAGCTCCCGATGTAGTGGGAATTTCAGGATGCCTCAAACATGAAACCTTGAGCTAATACACATTTCTTTACAAAAACTGTGATTTGAAGAAATTTGGGTGCCATTTGATGGGTCAATAGCTGAGTACAAAGTGAGCCTTAGTTGCAGGAAATTTCCCTGCAACAGTGCTCCGTGACGTGTTCACACATTTTGGGTTATAGCTCAAAATCCGTGGGGAGTTTCAAACATCTCAAAACATGAAACTTTAAGTACATTCATAAACCTTTCCAATGGCAGTAATTTTAAGGTTTTTGGATACCATTAGCTAAGTCAAAGTTATTGCTCAAAAAGGGCCATAGTTGCTAGAAATAGCAGCGACTGTGAGCATACACACGTCTTTCATTTGGGATCGATTTTGGTCTTATTTGGACACCATTTGATCATCGAACATATAGATGCAAAAAAATTCATACTTTTGGAAATTCACATTCTCAAAATTAACATACTTTTAAAGAACACTTATTATTTCCTAGTCAAGCTACACTTTGGGCTTGGAACCTTATTCGTGATAAGGAGTCTCACAATGAGTGATTTCATGAGTTTTCATAAATAAAAAGATCAAATATATGGTAGACATAGTCGTGGCATTGAGAAGCACAAACTGAAACTTCAACCTCATGTTAACCCATTCATTCTTCACATTTTCCATTATATCATATAATCCATTTGAACATTTTTACAACACTCATGGAAGCATAAAGCTAAACCCACTTACCTTGACTTCTCACGGTATCTCATCCTCACTCATGGCCTTCATGGGCTTTCCTTGGCTTCACCAGTGGGTTGTCTTGAAAGGGGCAGCAGCGAGCTCCATGAGAGAGGGAAAAGTTGAGAAACAATGAGAGTGACCCATGTTGCCCTAAGGCTTAAAATGAGAGAGTGGTTGGAAAACATTGTAGCTGACGCAATCACTCATTGCTCTGACACGTACAGGGTGGCTCTGACATGCACAGAGGTTGTATGTTGACTAAGACACTCCTAGCACTGTACTATCAAACATGCAACTGGCATTGCTCCAACCGACGCTGCTCTCTCTTCTCTTCCTATCGGTGCTGCTCTCTCTTCTCTTCCAACCGACGCTGCTCTTTCTTCTCTTCCAACCGATGCTGCTCCAACCGGCGTGCTACTCTCTTTTGTTCCAACAGGCGTGCTACTCTCTTTTGTTCCAACCGGCGCTGCTCCAACTGGCACGCTACTCTCTTCTCTTCCAACCGACGCTGCTCCAACCAGCGCTGCTCCAACCATCGCTACTCCAACCGATGCGCTACTCTCTTCTCTTCCAACCGGCACTGCTCCAATCGGTGCGCTACTCTCTTCCCTTCAAACCAGCGCTACTCCAATCGGCGCTACTCTCTCTTCTCTTCCAACCGGCGCTGGCCCAATTGGCATTGCTCTCTCTTCTCTTCCAACTGGCGCTGCTCTCTCTTCTCTTCCAACCGATGATGCTCCAATCGGCGCTGCTCTCTCTTCTCTTTCAACTGGTGCTACTCTTTAAACAGGCGCGGCAATGCCTCAGACGGCAATACTCCATACGCCTTTCGCGCGCGGTGAAAATCCTTGTGCCTTCGCGCTCGACATTACATCTCTCTTCCCGCGCGGCGATATAGGCTTGGGAGAAAATTGTGGCCCTTACACGTCCATTGATTGAACGAAGGGATAAGGCAAGTTGTGCTTGGGATGAAGTCCTATAAGGTTGGCAATGGAGGAAGAGGCCTGAGGAATTGCTCCTCAACTGGTGGCTGAGAAACATGGTTCCTTCGACGAGTTGACCTGGGCGCTCGTCTCCTTCTGGATCCTTTGGGAGGTGTTCGGTCTGTCCTATCAGGCTAATGAGTAACCCTAGCTTGGAGGACTGCCTCACGCTTCAATGATTTGAGCCTGCTTCTCCCATGGTAGACTTCTTATGGCCGAGAAGTAGAGGGCTCTGAAGGGTTTAGGGTACCGTCATAGGGGACTTGTAGTGTGATGTCCTCTTGGACAGCAGTGACGGCTTGAAAGCATTCTAGGAGAACAGCGCAAACAATGTGGCCTTTTTGTACCTTCTTCGCAATTATAGCTTCGAACCCAGAACATTCCCTCAGCTCGTGGCCCCATACCTGGTGATATGGGCACCAGAAATTTTCGTACCCTAGGCAAGACACCTGGGTTGCCTGGCAGGCTTGGGAGTGACGAGACCATGTTGAAGCATCGCCTCGAAGAGGGCCTGCAGAGGGTCTAGCTCAGCACTTCCTTGGGCTTGTGTCGAAGGGTCTTCTTGCACTGGTGGAGCAGGGACTTGAGGGTGTCCTTTTGAGCTACCATGAACTCCTTGGTGCTGCTACATATTTTTTGCCAAGCGCTTGTGGAAGCCAGTGCATTCGCTCAGGTCATAGCCTCGTATCAGATGATACAGACACCAGAGGTTCTTAGTTCCTGGGCTACCTTGTCGGCTTCAAAAACCTTCTTCGAGTATTACGGAGAACATTGCATGGAGGACGGTAGGTACGTCATCATCCTCTTGAATAGTCACTACGTGGGAAGCCTCAGTTGCCCCGAATGCTTTCTTTAGCTCTTCGAGCTTTATCTGACCCTTATTAATAAGGGCTTCGATAATGTGTTTGAGCATATAGCACTCTTGAGTGGGGTGGCCTACTCTCC